GGTGGTGGTGGTGGTGGTGGTGGTGGTGGTGGTGGTGGTTTCTTCCTCTCCCTCCCCTTTTTCGAGACTGGACAGACAGCAAATGCGTTACTGGAGGTGCGGCTGACTCAGAATATCACCTAGCCACCCCGTTAACAGACCTGTAATACCGATCAGTCAGGCCATTCCATCACCCATTATGTAAGGAACTGGTTTCAACGTACACCTCCACTGTCGTAGTGGACAGACCTCGAACCATGGCAAGGGCTATTCGTCACCTTGGTGCTCACTGTGTCCAGTCAGCACTTCCTTGTGCCAGGCACCACACTCTTCTCTCCCTCTGCCGCACTTTGAACGACCGAAATGCAGGCCGGTGTTAACGGTTTCACCCCTCTGCACAGGTTCAAGCAAAGGCATGCAACTTTTAATATGAAAAGCCTCAAACCTTTTCTGCGTTTAAATAAAGCCCGAATTTTAATAGCTAACTGTTTAAACACAAATGTGTGTTGGTGTCTCCGACAAGCAGTTAATTTTAAAACATTGCGCACTTTTTTTGGTGACAATAAATGCAATCGTTTCTAGCCAAGGCTGTCCACCATTTGGGCTAAGAAAACGACGCCTTTTTGATGCAAAAGCGGGACACTGCGCAGAATTACGTCTAAATCGGATTATAAAAAATTAAAAAAAAAAAAAAGAACACGGGAAACGAGATTACGCAATATCAAGCTTTTTAATCTCATTGCTTTTCAAGTAGTCATGACTTGGGTATATTGAGTTAAATACACCTAAACAGGACTCCATATTGGTCTTCTTTCTGTCAAAATTGAGCAGCAGAGGTAAGAAGACAAGAAACGAAAGGTTTGCTGCCCCTCCTCTCGGGCACACATGGCATCTACCTTGAGATGGTAATAACTTTGCTGCTGCCTCACCCTCTCCACTCTACACTGTCACGCAAGTGCTGCATTAAATAGGTTGAAGTTTGTAAACAGCAAAAAATAACGTCAAGGCCACAACAGTAAAAGGTGTACTCGCATACTCATTCCTGACCACTCGTCTCAGCCAATCAAAATACTCAACTAATGAACTCACGAGGACTACCAGCCAATGGTATTCGTCACTCATCCCATGACCTAGGCTTAATTTGAGAGTTGAAAATGACAGGAGGGAGCGGGGGTGGGTTTTGATAGGCAAACCTCAGGAATGGGTACTGATCGACAGACCTTGATAGCCTACTGTGAGAGAAAATTCGCTCACTGCTCTCTTTCAATCGAGAGAATGGCGCTGGGGAATGGCAGACCTTAACGACGCGATTGGGTGTGATGACGGTATGTAAAAATTCACATCAAAGAATTTAGAATCGGTTTTAATCTTACGAGAGGGGGTCTCTCCAAAACGCAGCGGATTTGCTGTGGCTTTTAACCAAATGGCAACTTCAGATAAACCAATGGAATAAACACCAAAAAATGCAACACGCAGATCTCTTTTGGAAAAAATGACTTAGTTAAGTCATGAAACTAGTCGTAATTATTCCATTAAAAGGTGTTTTCTCTTTACTACAATTGCTCTACCCTGAGTAGGGTTCGCGACGCAAGCTGGCCCCTACTGGTCACAGTCGTGCTTACTCTCAAGACAAAAAGACATCTACCTTGGGGTTTAACCCGGTATCACCAAGTAGTTAGCAAAAAAACGGCTACAAATGATTGCCCATTACATACCTGTGCCGACATATACGTGACGAGTGCTAATAACGGGTACATCAAAACAAATGGTGTGAATTTGTGAGTCCTTGTAGGCAAAACTTCAAGTTATTGATTTAAAAGGGTGACAGTTGTCAATTAGCTAATTCGAAGGCATCAAAGAGGATAAGTTGGAGGTAGTATACTCAGAGGAAAGGATGCGGCTTTAAACTTTAGTAGGGAGCACAGAGAGGAGGTATGTGATTAGAGAGGAACGCACCTTATCTCTTCCACGGTATGAATTAATGCCTTCAAAAGCAGTGACAAGGAACACCACAACGAAAGCGCACGCATGCAGCGGGCATCGTTCATGGGCGAACCTGATTAGCTCCCTCTCCAGCCAATCAGCGAGGGGAGAGTGGGTGAACAAAAAGCAAGATGTTATATGCCTTAGCCACAGCTCCACCCCCCAGCCCATTTGGCTATTTGATAGAAAGTATTTGTGTTAGTGGGAATGGCAGGTGCACTTAGAACCTCCCAACACCCTTGCAATAGAAAAGAGGAAAACAAATGCGGAACTAGTGACTGCCTTATCGGTGGTAGAAATAATCGTTACCATGATAGCCGTCCTTCAATCGGTCATGACCTCAGTGGAGGTAGTGCAATCTGTGGCTCGCCTTCACCGAGATGGCATCTGCGGCCTCCTTGAAGGCACTGTAGTGTGTAGAAGTGGAGCGAAGTGTTGGATGGTCAAAATGCTAGTAGGGATAGTGAACCTCCTAGGGATTGAAGAGCCCGTCTGGATAGGTAGACAGCCCAAACAAGTGCAGGCCTCTTTGGGAGGCCTCCTCGATGCTCCTCGCGTTCCCGCTTTCATGGAGACATGAGAGCCCGAGGTGAGGGATTTACCTTCTCGACTGATCCATCCTCTTTGTGAAACATGTAGGGAAAAATTTACTCTCCAACCTGATCATCCTCTTTACTACCTTTTTGGCCTTTCATTTTTATTCAGCGGTCTGGTCTTTGTGGTTACTTTCATCCACCAGGAGGGCAGAGAAAGTACATCCACTGAAAATGCTGTAGAAAGCTCCACAGGCGATGTCTTCCTTCCCTTCCTGTCTGGCCTCACCGTTAAAGGCGGAGTTGGGACGACCGTCAATTTATTCAAAAGCCGTACCCCTCGGTCAGTCCTTCGTAAATTTGGGCGAAATTGAGAGACCGTAATTTGAGCACAGTGCAGCGCCTTTTGTGTTTTGGCATCTGCGCATGAGGTGGATGACTTTGCCCTTTAATTAGAGGACATTTCCACCCTAGAATGGCCACAATTATTAGGTATGGAACCCCGTCAAGGAGGGGTCGCATCTAAATGCGTGGGTAAAGAAAAGAAGGACTTGAAAGGGTTTTTAAGCCCTCACGCCAATGTTGACAACCGTACTGTTTACGCGATCCTCTTCACCACAGTCCACTCACCAGTTCCCATTGAGAAGGTGATATTTGCGTAGCCTTAACAGCCTTTACACTAGCTTTAAACAGAATGAAATTATTGTATCCCCCTTGACTGTTTAAGGATTTTTTCCTTTCCATGGACAGGAAAGACAATCATTCTGGCTCCAACTGCATCTACCTGCTGGCCGAGTTTTGCGGCTTTTTTCCTCCGCGTACCTGCATGAATTCATTAGCACAGGGAGTCGGAAAAAGTGCAACCTCATCTACGCATTTATTTGCCCAAATCTGTCTGTCTACTTCAATAGACGAGGGGGTGATCGCGTGATCAGTAGAACAAAAAAAGGCATGAGACAAGGCAATCAAATTTTAGCAGTTGTCTGGGCATTTAAGTGAAGAAAAAATGTCCTCTCACCTCTCGAAATGCGGAGGAGGGAGCTTAAAGTGCGATCCGCTTTTTTGTGTGCCTAATAGGGAGGCTCTAAAAGTCACAGAGACTGAACAATCACTGGGGGGGGGGGGGTGGAAACATACTACTTACTAACGTGTGAGTAACCAGCTGGAAGGCTACTAGCATGGGTCAAAAGCCATGCAGCAGAGCGGAGACTAAAGTATCCGCGTTGTTGAAAAACTGTCAAATCTTCGCAAATCCGCCGCCCCTCTTTAGAGTGTCGTCCTCTGCGTTCGCCCTCCCCAACCTCCTTGTGTAGGTCATCATAACCTCATAGTTGGGGCTTTAAAAATCAC